TATGCGTGTAAATGGGCTGTGGCAACACCGGCTAGGATTTTTAGACTGAAATCCGGCTAGGCGGGGGGTTTTCACCCCCCACCATATGGCTCCTCTCCGTGGAGAGTTACTTTCCTTTCCGTGAATGAGTAACTTCCGTACCCCCAAGGGAGTTCGCTTCGCTCCCCCCTCCGAGAAGGTGCTTCTCTCCGGGGCCCTCGGAACGCCCGGATGCCGGTTGTCCCTCGGCTGCGGCTATGGCGGATGCCGCCCTACGCCTTGTCCCTTTAAGGGGGGTCCTGCAGTTTCTCCTCCTCGCCTATCTTAGCCGCCATCACCCTTCTCTCTTCTAAAATGCTTGTAGGACTTCGCTGTTAAAGCACATACATTTACACAACACATTCACTGTTCACATAAAATTACGCTAACGCAATATGATTGTCAATACAAAATGAAAATAATGCACACAACTCATTCAACACATTTGTCTATGCGTATAATACATAACAATAAACACTTCATCTTTCCCAATTTTATCTCTCACCTATCGTGAAAATTACCAGCTTTATCCTATAACTTGGGCCAGTTGAATAGAGCAGTAAGCTGATCGTTTGATAGATTAAATTAATTTAAAGTAATTTAAATTAGAGTAATGCTATTTGGACACACAACATTGACACACTTAGTGACACCTGCTGATGTGTCAATGTATCATTTGCTCTTCTTTTCTCCTCGTTTTCTGTTCAGCGAATGATACATTGACATATCAGCGGGTGTCAACTAAGTGTGTCAATGTTGTGTGTCCAAATAGCATTACTCAATAAAAAAAGTCACATATAAGTGTCTTTTCCTTTTGGTTAGGGTTTTAGAGCGACTAGATTTTTGCAAAGCGTGCGGCTAGGTTTGCTAGGTTTATATTTACCGGGATCCCTGAACTTGAAAAATCCCCGATGGATATAGGGGGATGGTATTGGCATCCCCATCCCCGAATCCGACCTGAAAATATATATGTTTATATTTAAGTAAATAAATATATAATTATAATATTTATGTTTAACCCCAAGTTAACCTCCCACTCCTAATTCTTCCTAATCTTCTGTTTTTCCTTTTTCTTTTTCTTTTTTCAGTCCAAAAAAAAGAAAAAGGGGTCCTGTTTTTACTAGATTTTTCTTTTCGGGGCAACGTTATCTTTCGACTGCGATACATCAGCAGCTCAGCTGACGATTTCAGTTCTCTTTTCTAAAGAAATCTTCAAATTGAATTTGAGACATCTAACATGGTACCGCTCTACAGTTTGAAGAGCCTTAGATTGGATTGTTCTATATTTTCTTGTACGTTTGCTCCCAAAACTAAAAGATTTATTGTTGGGGAGCTAAAACCCTCGCCATTTTCTCTTCAAAATCAGTTACTTTACAGACCCATCACCACTGAAATCTCAGAAAATCCAAACAATTTCACAGTCTCTTACCTCATAAACTCATGTGGCTTGTCGCCGGAAGGTGCGATTTCAGCAGCCAAGTGGGTCGAGTTGCAGTCCCCAGAAAGAGCAGACTCTGTTTTGGCCCTTTTGAGAAACCATGGACTCTCTGAAACCCAGATCTCCAAGCTTGTCAGGTCGCGTCCACAACTTCTTTTAGCCAATCCTGAGAAAACCCTTTTGCCCAAGCTTGCGTTTTTCAGCTCTCTTGGAGTTTCAAGGCAGGACCTTGCAAAAACTCTGGCTTTTAATCCGAAGCTTTTGTCACGGAGCTTGAAGAAACAGATCATACCCACGTACAATTTCCTTAGGAGTCTGGTTTCTGAGAAAATGCTTGTTGCTATTTTCAAGCACAACTCGTGTATTTTCGTGGAAAGTAACTGCAATGTGTTGGCAAATATTGGACGTTTGAGAGAATTGGGTATGCCCCAATCATGCATTTCTATGTTGCTAGCTCACTACACTACCGTTTTGATGATAAATCCTGAAAATTTTGGTCAACTTGTGGCTGAGGTTAAGGAAATGGGATTTAATCTGGAAAAGTCGACTTCAGTGAATGCAATGCGTGCATTGTGTGGTAAGAATAAGCTGATATGGAATCGAAGTCGAGAAGTTTTTAGGAGGTGGGGTTGGTCTGAGGATGATGTTCTCTCTGCTTTCAGGAAGAACCCGCAGTTTATGATTGTGTCAGAGAAGAAACTACTGCAGGCAATGGACCTTTTAGTGAATAAGATGGGATGGCCATCAGAAATGATTGCCAAATATCCAGTGGTCCTGAGCCTCAGTTTGGAGAGGAGACTTATTCCAAGGTGTTCGGTTGTTAAAGTTCTATTGTCGAAAGGATTGGTAAATGAAAACTTGAATTTAGGTTCTGTGTTGCTTCCTGCAGAGAAGGAGTTCTTGGGGAAGTTTGTAACCGGATATCTCAAAGAAGTACCGCAATTGTGGGATGTGTATCAAGGGAAAGTGGATATCCAGGATGTATGATATTGATACCTTGAAATGGCTGAGCTTGTATATAGATTTAACCCCCTGAATATCCAGGTTTGTAACCATCACTCACATGTATTAGCTTGCTTTTGGCACAATATTAGAAGGTTGTCTTGTACCCTAGAACTTGTCCCAGCGTGTTATTAAATTCGCTGGAAGTAAATTCATTTGTTCACTTTTCTACTTCATAGCCTGGCTGCTTTTCGTTAGACTTAAATATACCTTCTTATTAGATGACTTGCTTAAAGTTTGCCTTACCGCGGTGGTGTTGCCAATCTCCTGCAGTTCATACATTAACATTGGTTAGCCTTGAAAATTTTCATAGAATAGACACATATATTGCTTTTATTCGGAGTTTAATCTTGCCCATTTTTGAAGTTATAACATATCAATAGTAGCTGTCAGCACTTTATCCCTTGCTCTGATGAAAGAAAAAGCAGCTTGAAGAAGCAATTATCTCTTCTTCTTTTTTTCTTCTTTTTTGGTTTGGGGGGAAGGGGGGGAGGGGTAGGGCGGCACGGTAGGGGTTATGATTGAAGAAGTAATATTTGAGAAGAGCTGTGTGTACTTCAATCAGATTAGTCTCTGATTGGTATGATTCATGAACATTGACGTTGTAAATAGGAACGCTAGTCATGGATAGGGTGTATCTGCATTCTGCACAAAGCGTCTTACACAGTAATGATGTATGACTCTTTCTTTTCTTCCTTTTCCTTTTAGCATACCATTTTTTAGCTTTTTCCACTTGGTGCAATTGCAAAAATTGTATTAGTTCATGAAGCTGAGGCATTTTGGAGCAATTGTGGAAGACATCAGTCCTTTCTCCAGCACAAGTTTTTGTGTATGGTGTGGTGGTAAGACAAATTGTTGTTGATACCTTTATTATGTGTTCCAACTTGATCAATATCAATTTTGTTTTGCTAAATCCTAAATACAAATTAGCTTCAAAATGATATCCTAAATCCAAACTGATAGGTTGAATGTGATTATGTGATACGTATTGTTCTTTCTTACGCACCTTAATTGCACATAGTGAATTTGGAGCGCTCATGTTTCAAGCGTCCATGCTTGATCATTTTGTATATACTGTGCATATAAATATTTAGAGCTCAGTTTTATACTTTGTCCTTGAGGATGTGAATTTTTGTGCCCCCCTTTCTAGAATACAATTGGAGAATTTCCTGTTGCGGTAGAGTTGCCTTCCATAATCTGGAAAATCCTTAGAACCTGAAACTAGAAGGTGAGTTACGTAAGTTGGGATAAAAAGCGAGAAGTGGTTGCTGGAGCCATGAGCTTGTAATGGAGAAAAACTTAGCTGCAACCGGTTCACGCAAGTTTTTCTCCTTGCGATGACATGATGTATATACATAGCGAGGCTAGAGGGCCATCACATGTAGTGTTAACTGGTTAGGTATTGTGGCAATTGTGCCTTTGTTTTCGATTACAATTGATGATTGTGACCTAAACATGAATTCATGTGTCAAATATTTTAGAGTTATGTCGGAGATTCTTCATATGTTGTTCAAATTGAAATTGCTGGTTTGTACACAAAGGGTTGCCCCTAATGTGTGGCATACACCTGCCAAATGTAGGAAGCACCGTATAACTATCCAACAAGCAAACGCAAGATCACTATCCAACGTTCTGCAAGATGTGTGTGCTACTTTCCTGTACCTCCATTTCCCAAAAAAGCTTCCAAAAAAATGTTCCAAAGTCTTCTAACTTCTCCAATAAAATAAAAATAGACTTGAACGATTCCAAAAATTACAAAATCTCCAAAGTTTTCAACTTATCACCACTTTGAGCCAAAGAAATTCTTTTTCACATGGTGGCTTCAACTAAAATTTCAAATATCTTGTGGCTTACATTTCACATGAGCCCCTGGTCTTGAGGAGGTGATGCATCAAAAGGGCAACTTTTATAGCCAACCCTCTAGCCTCACGAACCTGAGAACGTGCACGGAAGTTGAGTCTCATGGTGGCACGTTTGTGGTATGTGGCGGTGACCGTAGGAGGCTTCTAACAATAGGATGTTTGAGGTGATCTGATGAACCTCACCCGTTTTATATTTTCTATCAATTGTCATTGAAGAAATCGTGGTTGAGTCTTCGAAATTCACTCTCAAGGAGAGGAAATGTTGGGTTAAGGGTTCCTCCATAAACCCCCAAACTACCAATTTTCATGAGCTTTTCTTGGTTTTTCGCCTCTTATTCGTATCATATTGAGTTACTTATGAGGCCTAAGTAGGGAATATTAGTGTCCCAAAACATATGGAAGAAAGAGAGATGGTTACGAGATTCATGTTAGTAGTAGTTGTTTCATATGCAAGCAACACTTAACCTAAAGCCACTTCCAAATGATGCTATATGTTTGGGATATGAGTACAATAAATGAAACTGCTCTCGAATCTTAATGATCCCATTTGTTGGAGGAATGCTAACTCCCAAATCGAGAATAACTCCTACGTAATGATTATGTCATTGTAGCAGTATTTCAAGCTAATCACACATTATTTTGTAAAAAATTTAAACACATAATAAGGTGTCGGAAAAATATAAACACGCGTGAGTGACTTAAAATAAACATCTTCATTCTAGGAAGTTATGGTTAAAACCCTTTTGAACCCCTGTTTTAGTTAAATAAAAAACCCTTTTCGTTCAAAAAGTTAAAATAAACCTTTTGGACCGAAGACCCGCTAGGATTTTAGAAAACAAATTGTTCATCTTCTTCATCGTTTAACAGGGCCACATCTATCATGGTTCTGCTCTTCAAATTGAAGAACCTCAGAGTGGATTGTTCTATATTTACTTGCACATTTGCTTCCAAAACTAGAAGCTTTGTGGTTGGAGACCTGAAACCCTCGCATTTCACTCTTCATCCTCGGTTTCTTTACAGATACATCACCACCGAAATCTCACCAACCCAAAACGATTTCACAGTCACTTACCTCATAAACTCATGTGGGTTGTCCCCAGAAGATGCAATTTCAGCGTCCAAGATGGTCAAGTTGAAATCTACAGACAGAGCAGACTCTGTTTTGGCCCTTCTGAGAAGCCATGGCCTCTCTCAACCCCAAATCTCTAAGGTTGTCAAGTGTTGCCCAAGAGTTCTTACATCCTGTCCAGAGAAAACCCTTTCTCCCAAGCTTCAGTTTTTCAGCTCTGTTGGAGTTTCAAGGGAGGACATTGCAATATCTGTGACCGCTAATCCATGTCTCTTGACAGTAAGCTTGAGGGAACGGATTGTACCCACTTATAATTTCCTTAGGAGTATGATTTCTGAGAAAAATGTCGTTACTGTTTTCAAGCGCCGGTCACGGGTTTTCTTGGGCAATCACTGCAATGATGTGGTGCCAAATATTGGGCTTCTGAGAGAACTGGGTATGCCTCAATCTTCCATTTCTGTGTTACTAGCTCATTACATTCATGTTGTGATGCACGAGCATAAAAAGTTTGGTGAAGTTGTGGGTGAGGTTAAGGAAATGGGATTTAATCTGGAAAGTTCGAATTTCGTGTTTGCACTAAACGCATTGTGTGGTAGGAACAGTAAGTCAATATGGAAACGCAGTCGAGAAGTTTATATGAGGTGGGGTTGGTCTGAGAATGATGTTCTCTCTGCTTTCAGGAAAAATCCAGAGTTTATGATTATGTCGGAGAAGAAAATAATGCGAGTAATGGAATTTTTAGTGAATAAGATGGGATGGCCGTCAGGAATGATTGCCAAACACCCGTGGGTTATGCGTCACAGTTTGGAGAAGAGAATAATCCCAAGGTGTTTGGTTGTTAAAGTTTTGTGTTTGAAAGGTTTGATAGATGAAAACTTGAGTTTGGGATATGTGATTCAACCTGACGAGAAGCTCTTCGTGGAGAGGTTTGTGACCAAATATCAAAATGAAGTACCTCAGTTGTGGAATGTGTATCAAGGGAAAGTTGAAATCGAGGATGTATGATCTTGATAAGTTGATGCTTCATCACTCACTTGTATCAGATTGCTTTGGCACAATATTATAAGGTTGTCCATAAGTAAATTTATTGTTTGCTCTCATACTCAATTTCTAGCTGCTTACATTTATGTGTACTTTCTTATTAGAAGACCTGCTTGAGTTGGCCTAGCTGCTTTAATTTATATGTACTTTCTTATTAGAATAACTGCTTGACTTGGCCTGCTCTCTTTGGCGTCACCAATCTCTTGCATTTTGTGTTCTTGAGTTTGGGTAGCCATATCTTGCATCCATTGTGGTTCAATCAAATTATGAGATATCAACAGTTGTCAGTGCTTTACTCCCTGCTCTGTTAATGCCCTCCACTTGGTTGATTTGTAGGAGACCAGATCAATAAGGCATCAAAACGCTGGGTGTGTTAGCCTTTTCTGATGAGAACTTAATGGTGAAGAACACAATATAGTCAGTGCTTGTGGCGGTTGATTGGGTTTTTAAAGTTTAAAAACCCGGCTTTGAGGGATGTGTAATGAAGGGTGATTTGGAAATTGGTATTTTTGGGGATGAATCTATTCAGTAAGCCGCTGGAGGTTTGCTGATCTCAAGAGAATGTTAGTTCGTTGGATGATGGTTTTGTGGTATGACTTCATTTTTTTATTTTCGACATCTTGGCATGCATGCCATTTAGATTCATTTAGTGCTCCAAGCCATGAGGATATAAGTGCCTGAATCTGATTTTCCAGATGTTATTAGTCAGTACTGGCCTATTTCAGAAGTGTAAACATGTTCAGTGACACTGCCAAGAAAATGAAAAAGTACAATGCTTTTACCCATTTCTGGGTTTGATTCCCGTAGACAATAGACAACCTGAGGTTGAGTCTCATTGCAATGATCTTTTCTTTGTTTTTTTCCTAAGATCACATACGTTGAGCGCAGACAACAACTTAACTTTTTTAATCAGTTGAGAAATATTACAGCAGGTATATCTGCACCTCCTTATTAATTTTCAAATGGTTGGCACCTTGTAATACTTCTTACAGCGGAAGTCACCTTGTCATGATCCAGTAATGTGTCATAGACATGTTTTGTTCCTTATTTGAAAATATGTGCCGTATTGCTATAATAAATCTACAAATTCATTGCAACTGCTGACTTGTCATGATGCAGATCATTACTTTGCCCCTAATTTGGCGGACAGTGAATTCTTTGCCTTGCATATCAATTGGAGGTGCACGTATTCTTATGCCCTTCTTTGAATTTGTCACGTTCTTCAAGTATTGCTGTCTACGCATATCAGTAGACTACATTTCTATCATCGAGTCCTTGTAGTATTGAAGTTCTCTAGAATGGATTTGGAGAATTTTCTGTATGGAGAGGATTTGCCATTCGATGCTCAGAATTTGGAGAATGCGAATAAGATTTTGAATCAGAACAAATAAGGTCTTGAAGCTAAAATAAAGGTGAATGAATCATCAGCTGGAGACTTGCTCTTGATAGTTAGCTTGCTTTTCTGTGGGGCCATGAGCTTCTAATTTCACAAGGCTATCTACTTGGCCCTGTAGCATAGGTGAGGCTCCAACGATTCTTATCTGCATTGAGTAGTTTGGAGATGCTGTAATGTAGTGGTAGGGTTCATGTGACTTGAATTATCTTCATGGAGGAGGAGGAAGTTGGGTTAAGGCAACATAGGTCGCCTTTGGAAGCGTAGCTGCATTCTTATTGCATGTCTACAGATATGTACTACCATCTGCACTATGCATCCAGCCTAAAGCAGACATCTTTGCATTTGTACATATGAATATAGATAAGTCAGAAGCAGACATCATCCTTAGTAGACACAAGAAGAGATTTATAACACTCTGACTTGTGTGGTATCGGATGTTTTTAAATTTCGAATTTGCAATGGCATGGATGTAATGCCCTGATTACTGGTTTTATGACTCACTGAATTGATGTTATTTCCTTCCTGCAGATATTACACACTTTTGTAACATCTTGCTAGACAACTTTCTCTTTCTTTAAGGTGGTCTGTCGTTGAAATAGATTGGGGAATATACGATGTTATTTTAGTTTAGTTTTACTTCATTTGGTGGATGCTTGGATGAAGCCTGTTCAACCTATATACTGGTAATAGAGATCCTAATGTGTATGAATGTGTATGAACGCGTATGTACGTATATTTACGTATTGATTTTCAAGCTTTATCGAATCTAAACTAATTGTTTGGGATGAGCTGTATTCTTGAATCATGTTAGTCATGGACAGGATGTACCTGCAATGTGCAAAGACATGATAAAGGTGTTCATTTTCATTCCTCTTTCTTCATTTGCCTCGTAGAATACCTAATATGAGCTTTCCACAAGTTTTAAGCATGGTGCAGTAACAGTGGATGTCATTCGTTGATGCATTAACTTTTAATTCCAACTTGATCAAGATCAATTTGGTTTTGCTAATACCTAAATGCGAATTATCTTCAACCCTGGACGAAAGTCATATTGATTTGGGTGAACCAGATAAGATTATGACCTGTTGATCCGATTTTGGGCATCAAACATAAACTATAACACCCAAAAAAATTTCCTTAAACAAATGTTTCAAATATAACACCCTTCCAGAGATAAATTTAGGCTAATGATTTCAGCATTCAATTTTAGTCTCATGTACTCTCGTAAGTGCTGAAAAAGATTATAAAATATTCAGTTTGGAGCGCGCACGGCTAAAAGAGGAGTGTGAAAATCACTACAATCCTTAAAAGACATAAGCATGTTTTCCTAACTTGCACAACCACTAGCTTATCACAGTCCTACCTATCTTATCAAATTTATTTACCAAATTAACTTTTATTTCAACAAATATCAAAATGTTACAATACGGATCTCTTGTCAGAACAAATGATCTCATTAAGCTTTCACATGAAAGTTGACCCCTGTCGACTGTCGATCTTATATATGTAGATAGTACATTGGGTTTTTTTTTTTTGTCTTTTTTTTTATGGGTCTAAAATACTGCTTTGCTTTTCACTCGCAAGTACATTCCTTTTTTTTTTTTTTCTTTTTTTTTCAGTTGGGTAGGGTAGTTTCACTTGGTATGATTGACAAAAACATTGCAACTGCCACAACTGAATTTTGCCTCCTTGCATTTGGCAGCTGCAGCTAGCATACCATTAGAAACATAACAAAGTAAGCCATGCACAAATTTGAACTCTGGGATTAAATAAACCATATATAAACTAGTATTAATAAAAGAAAATTATATATGGGTAATTACAAATATATTACTAACTATAAAATTCAAATTTGATCAAAGTTTCTGAGCACATCCAACTCAAAATGCCCAGAAAACGGTTCGAACAAAGCATCGGAGCAATTCGGAAACTCATAAAACGAGTTCGAGAAAGGAAGCTGAGGCAACAACACATGATCATGATCATGACCCACACCCTTCAATTGTTGCTCATGAGTAAACTCATGAACATTTTGAGAATGGGCACCTTTGGTCTCCATGAAACGCTCAGCATCAGAGTCTCTACCAGTAAGCTCCTGGACAAGAGCCCTAAACTTAGAGGCACTTGTCTTCACCTTCATAGGGCTTGATATGTACACAACCTTCACACCCTTTGATCTGCTTCTCTTGCTCTGCTTGGGGGGGCTCTTCATGTGGTTCTCACCAAGCACATCCATTACCAGAAATTATCAAACACCTTTGAAGCTCAATGTGTACCACCAAAAAAAAAAAAGTGTCTAAAAAAGTGTGGGCAGAGTAGGGCGCGAATTGTGATGGCCAGTTTTCCCTAGGGTTGCATAAGCATATATAAGGTACGGATAAAGACTTTTGGGGTCTCCTGGGTGTTTCTTGGAAGGAGAGGTTGGAAGAAAAAATGAAGGGGTTTGATTCATGAATTGGAAAAATGGAAAGTATAGAAGATTCTTGTGGAGATACTTACATGACCCGCATGCTTTTAGATATTTTGTGCCACCTGGCATATTTCATAAATAATTTAATACACGAAATAATTATTCAATGAGACAGTAATACCTTCATATTATATTATTAGGTTTTTCATGTTAGGACGTGTGTGAATTTGTTTACATTATTATGTAAATATTAACATGTTGCAGCTATTTTATAGTAATTATGTTGTCCATTCATGTTATAACAAGTCGATTGATAACAATACGTGTTGGTATTCCAGTACCACATAATAATTTCTTTTTCGGTGAGACAGTAATACCTTCATATTATATTATTAGGTTTATCATGTTAGGACGTGTGTGAATTTGTTTATATTATTATGTAAATATGAACATGTTGCAGCTATTTTATATTAATTATGTTGTCCATTTATATTATAACAAGTCGATTCATAACAATACGTCTCGATATTCCAGTACCACATAATAATTTCTTAAGATATACAGTATAACTTAAGGCTTGACTTATTAAGGCAGGGTTTCAACGTAACAAAGCAACTCCGCAAGTCTGGATAACACTCACGTGCGCAGCCTCCTATGACTTGAATGAAAATTTGGTTTCGTGGAGTCTTGGAATCTCAGACGTGGCTGTAAGGGATTGGTTAAAGATAATAGGGTCGGCTTGTGGAATTGTGGTGGTTTATGAATTGACCAATTAACTTGGGGTATGGTTATCTATCACATGTGTTAAAAATACAAATGATGATGGGGTGTGGGTTTCTCCTAATCCTCAAGATAAGATCTGATGAATATAGTTTTACTATTTTATTTAAAAAGATATTATAAATGCGAACTCCGATGGCATTTCACCTTGTTTAAGTAGAGAGAGACTTTTATGTAACGGATATAACACTTTTTGTTATTCCCGATTAATAGAGCAATGGCATGCGAGATAACTTTTTCATGTGTCATTACATTATTGACCGAAATAGCAAAACAGTGATATTCTGTTATAATAAAAATTTTCTAGTCCAAGTAGTCTAACACACAGTAATGCCACAAGCATATAATACAAATCTCAAAATTTTGAAATCTAACTGGTGAAAATATTGTCATGTATCCTACAAGACATTAGTATATATATGTATAAGGAAAACATATTGGTATATCACTTGCTATATCATTTGATGATTAAATTTCATAAAAGTTTTGATAACCCTTTTTTTTCATCTTTTTTTATGAATGGGGACGAAAATTTGTGCATAGGACATCTTCAATTGAGAGGAGACATATCATGAGTAGGTTTTGATAACCATGACTTTGACTAAGAAAAGTATGTGGTATTTAAGCATAAGGGGACAACTTTATTAGATGGCTTTATGGGAAGAGAAACTCTCTTACAACGAGAATAACATTCTTTGCTATCTTCAGCCAATGACGCAATAACACGTACGAAATTTTTTCACGCGCCATCGTATTATTAGTCGATAATAACAAAACAGGACTATCACAGTTACAAGTAAGTTTTTTCACTTTAATGGGACGCCTTGTCAGATGTCTTCTTCCTAGTTTAGTGACTCATAGTTGCCAACTGCTAAAGCAATGTACTTATAACTTTATATAATAAAACTGTAGTAATACTATTTTTTTCTTTTGATGAAGTGTACCAAATTTTTTAGTTTTATTTTATAGAGAAAAACGTGCCTTCAGAAATCATTTCTACTTCGTTTTTTTCTTCTTGCTTTGGTGATTACGAGTAATTTTTGGGTGTTTCGGGTATACCACGTGGTTGATGTACCATCCAATAGAAGGAGGACATATGTAATATTTCCAATACAGCCCGCCACATGTCATAAAAAGAAATGCAATAAGTTGGACAATAATTCCACATATCCTCCGTCGATTGGATGGTACACCAGCCATGTGGTGTACCCGGAACATATAAAAATTTCTCGGTGATTACATACCTACTTGGTTATTTTATTCTGAAAAAACGGAGAAAATATTATTCAACCAATATCACATTAAGAAATCATTCCTACTTTTGTTGCCAACACCACCCATCTAGAAGACTATTTATTTCTTCCTTTCTAGAAATTTCTTAATTTATTTACATATATTTCTCTTTGAATCTGATGGTTTTTTCTTTTGAATTTCTTTCAAGGGATGTTTTTCAACTCTTTATTTATTTATTTATCTATTAATTAAGAACGTATGTTCACACGTAAGGTGCAACATCATGAGACCACGTGGCAATAACACAACCACTCAATCATAGATGGGTGATGATTTCAATATTTTTATCAAGTACTATAATGATTGTATGTGAAATGAAGTCATGTTGGAGATCATCGTGGATTGACCTTCGAGAAATACATCGTATATGCAACTTGCAAGTAATCTCTCAAAACTCCACTGTCACGTCACCCACCATTTTCAACAGGGTCCATTTCCAAAGAAACCCTTTTGTCTTTTTTTCTTTTAAAAAAAACTAGTGATTTTATTATTTATTATATACAATAATAGAATGCTGAAAAGACATGAATCTTAGGTCATCGTAAGAGAAAACTTTGTACTTCTCTATTCTACTCCTTGGGTACACCGGCTAGATTGCAGCCGTGATTATGCTTCATTATTATTTCTCATATGATTAAATGACATGCTTATACTTTATGGTATCTTAAAAAAGAATTCTTAGACTTGTGACTTTGATAATTGATTCTCCCAAATCCTCGCCTCCTATCTCTCGAAAAATCCTCTTAGAGATGTTTTCACTTTGAAGGGGGAGGAAGCCACTGTTCTTCCTCCCCTCTCCCCTATTCTCTTCCTCCATCTCTTCTCCCCTCATTTTCAGAGATAAAACTTTATTTGTATTGTTATGGCTTGGTTTTTTTTCAAGCTTTATCTCTTTTTGATTATTCTGAGTTTGTAATCTTAGTTGGGATGCCTATGCCAGAGTTTCTTCAATCCCGAACCAGATTGTCTTAATCTTAATATTAGACTGCTGTGTTATTGTAATGGCCTTTTGTGGTTAGTTTATATTGGCCCTTTGTGGCTGAATTATTAATGCAATCCTAGAATTTCTCAACCAAAAAAATATATATATAGCTTCCATTAAGGGATATCTCAAATAACTTATTTGAGAGACACCCTTGTATGGCCC